GGGTAGTAATGGGTGTAGATGCCCCCAATAACCATTTAAACTATTATTTGTTGTTTGGCTCAGAACTTTCTGGTAATTCAAGAAAAAAAAATATTATTTGTTTTGTACAGTCAACATAATCTTATAAACACTAGGTTTACATGGTATATAAAATATAAAAATATTTAAACTCTAAATTGATAACCTGCATAATTACTTGTATAATTAGATTTGAAATGAAAACTCTTATGTAGTTATCCTAAGATACGTTTTGTAATTCAAAAGTAAAAGTAAGAAAATTCAAAATTGATCCATATTAACCATAAACAATCTCTCTAAACCAATAGTTAACCGCTCCTCATCTGACCTCATGTCACCTAGACTGAAACCTCAAGACCAATCACTCGCACTCCCTTACGTATACGGTACATGATCCATGGATCAAACAAGCGGTCAGCCAGAGTGACAAAACAACACGTCAATTTCCAAGCGTTTGATAAGCATGAAACCATATTAACCAATTTTTTACTTCCCTGAACCATTTGCACATGTCTGTCTATCAATTTTTTTACTAAAGGGTATATTTAGTATTTGATAAAAAAAAATTAAGCCCCAATTCATATATATATTGTAACATCCCGATTTCCGATATATGGAAAGGCTTATAAGAATTGATTTGGCTACCTATGTCAACAAAGTGCACTTATCTTTTCCGGTCAAGTGTGCTGAAAGAACTCCAGAGTTAAGCGTGCTGATGCTGGAGTAATCTCAGGATGGGTGACTTACCGGGAAGTACTCTGCGGTACCGTGCGAGTGAGGACAAAGCACGGAGAAAGATCATGTGGTGATTGCAGGGACAGTAGACAAGTCTTACGAGCCTTCCGGACTAACGACTCCCGACCGTCGGACAGTGGTGGGCCAACGGGCCTAGAGAGGACGTTGGGCCAACGGGCCTAGAGAGAGGACGTTGGGCCCACGGGCCTAGAGAGGGCGTTGGGCTCACTGGGAAAGACGGTTGGGGAGAGTTAGAATTAATATCGCCGGTCCGTGCCTAGTCCCTAAAAGGAGGGCGGGTCGGGATGTCACAAGTGGTATCAGAGCCGACACCCGACTGTGTGGAGTCATACGGCCTCACACCGTCTAGGGTGAACGATCCTGGTGCACGAGCACTCTATGAGTAGAGGGAGAATTCGGAGACGAATTCCTTGGAAGTCGGGGAGAATTATAACATCCCGATTTCCGGTATATGGCTTATAAGAATTGATTTGGCTACCTGATAAGTAAGGTTTTTAAGGCCTTAAGAAGGGTTATCAATCCCCTTGTCAAAGTAGTATAAGGGGTGTCAATCCATATATGTGGTAGTTAGGCACTAGTTTATGTGATAAGTTCTTAAGTCAAGTGATCAAAGATGAGTTTTGGTGTGAACAAAGTAACAAGAAAGCATAAAACAAGAAACAAACAAGCTATGATTAATGAACTAAGCAAGCAAACAAAACAAGATGATGGTGATTAAGCAAATGATAAAAGCTAAACCTCTAGATGTGATCATTGATTAGGGTGCTTTAGATATTGAATCATGATGCTAAGAACATAATGCAACACTTGCTACTCTTTAGTCTAGGCTTCTTAATCAGATTAATTCATTCCCATGACAATAATCCCTTTGCAAATCACTTAATCAAGTCTAACAATCATTAGATATAATCAAGCAATCAGCAAGCATAATGCATCAAGCCTAATAAGTGACCAAACAATCTCTCAACCAAGAAGACTGAATCTTATACAGAAAGACATAACAAGCAATCACATGATCTCAAACATTTCAACTTAGAACTCTAATCTAGACTAATCCTCTCATGAAGGCATTAATCTCTACACTAATCCACTTTCAAACCAAATCATCATTTGTGAAATATGAATCAATGAGCATTAAGAAACAGTTCTAATATGTCATTCATGCATTTAACAAATCATTCCCATGATGAAAAAGGCATAAACCCTTAAGTTAGCTCTTTCACGCATTTCATCAAACACTTTGTGGGTGGAGAAATGCCTAAGTTCTAGATCAAGCTTATAATGAGAGATCTAGCATTAAGAGCAGCTAACTAAGGAAATGAAATTAGAATCTAGACCCTAAACATCACAAATCAAACATCTAAGCACCCTAATCTACACACCTAGAAGTTTAAAAGATGACTACTCACTAATCATGAAGAACACATCTAATCTTTTGCAAGAGATGATGTTAATCACGATTAGAAGCAGAAATGAGATGATGAGATGATGAGAAACAGCTTTGGAATGATCAAATCCCTTAGATATCTCTTAATCAAACTCGTTTTTACACTAAAAAGGAAAGAGAAACAAGAGAAAACAAAGCTTAAGTCTTGGAAAAAAACCTAAAAAGCATATATAGTGTCTCTTGCGGACCGGGTCAGCCCAGGACAAACTGGGTCCTGACCCGGCTTTGATGGATAGTGGTGTGGTTTGCCACGGTCAGATGATGCTTGGACAGACCGTGGCAAACTGACCGTGGCAAACTGATAGTGTCAAAGTTCTTGGACAGATTCTTCATGATCAAGGTTGCCATGGCTTGATTTACACCATGTCTAGTGGCCGTGTCTCTTCTTTTCTGGGTTTAGGTGATGAACTTCTTGGATTGCCACGGTCTAGTAGCTCTTGGTAAAGCCCCGTGGCAAGTGGTCGTGTCAAAAGCCGAAAGTGTGTAAAAATTGCCATGGTTAAGTCCTAGACCGTGGCATTCAAACCGTGTCAAAACCCGAATGCTTGTAAAGTTCCTCCCAGCCAAGTGTTTGTTTGCCACGGTCAGGTGTAGAACGTGGCATGAAGATCGTGTCAATCGCCGAAGGTGTGTAAAAGTTGCCACGGTCAAGTCCCAGACCGTGGCATTCAAACCGTGTCATGTTTCACTTAGCTCGCATCATTCAGGGCTGTCTGGACCACTTCGCATTCCGGAGAGTGTAACTCATAAGATACTTGTCCGAATTGAGTGATTCCGGTTGTAGAGAAGAGAGGACGCATCTATCTACAACTTTGGTGAAGAAAGCTTCGGTGCTTGGGAAGTGGAAGGCTTCCTGGAGGGCTCATCTTCGCAGTGCATTTACACGATCAGAGAGAGGCGTCTAGACATGTGTCCATTCCGGAGACCGTATCTTCCTGCTCATAGCTCCGAATTGAATGATCTTGGACGTTCTGGAACGAGGACTCAAATATCTCTGATTGCCATGAAGGCCCCAGAAACCGAATCGATCTGAAAGTGCACCGTCCTTCGCATTCTTCGGAGCTCATCGGCTTGGTCCAAAACGGCAGTGAGACAGGAGTTTCTTACGACGAGCTTAACTTTCTTCTCACGTGTCCGAATTCCATAATTCCACTTGTTCTGGAACCGTGATCTAATTTAATCCAACTTTGATGAAGCCCCCGACAACTGAATCGGACCGGAAGGTTTCCCGGACAGGCGATCATTCAGGAGTATCGGATTGTTCCGGAATGGATGCGAGAGAGGTCTGTCTTCCGGTGACCGTATCTTTCCGCTCAGTGCTCCAAATGCCCTGATTCAACCTGTCCTGGGTTCGTGACTCAATTATCTCCAACTTTGCTGAAGACCCTGTAAGCTGAATCGGCCGGCAAGAGCTTCCGGTGACGCGATTTCGGATATGTATCTGCACCCGGGATTTTTGGCCGAGAGACTTGACCGCGGTACGTGTTTTTGGCCGAGAAAGCTACCCGCGGGAAGGATTTTGGCCGAGAATCTTCGGCCATCAGTACATCATTTTGCCTAGAAACCCAAAATTGCTCCTTTTCACCATTTTTGATCATTTCAACTCCATTTCTTCATCTGAATCACATCCTCCACTCCAAATAAGCTCCAAAAGCACCTGTTTAGCACTCCAAACCATGCAAAACTCTCTTGGACCTAATGCAATCTCCTAAGTCCTAAAACAATGCCTAAAAACCTAAAATGTATGCAAATGAGACATAATTTGGACTAGAATATGTACATTAAATGATGCAATTTATGAATATATCACTACCTATGTCAACAAAGTGCACTTATCTTTTCCGGTCAAGTGTGCTGAGAGAACTCCAGAGTTAAGCGTGCTGATGCCTGAGTAATCTCAGGATGGGTGACCTACCGAGAAGTACTCTGCAGTACTGTGCGAGTGAGGATAAAGCACGGAGAAAGATCATGTGGTGATTGTAGGGACAATAGACAAGTCTTACGAGCCTTCCGGACTAACGACTCCCGACCGTCAAACAGTGGTGGGCCAATGGGCCTAGAAAGGACGTTGGGCCAACAGGCCTAGAGAGAGGACGTTGGGCCCACAGACCTAAAGAGAGCGTTGAGCTCACTAGGAGGAACGGTTGGAGGGAGGTAGAATTGATATCGTCGGTCCGCGCCTGATCTCTAAAAGGAGGGCAGGTCGGGATGTCACATATATAGTTTAAAATAAAATTTTGTATTTATATCCAGAACCTTTTCGATTGTTCGTTCGTACTTGCTAAAAGATGACCTTGCTCACGTCACTTGCATATTCTCTAGACTATATCTTAATGATACTCAGAAAAAAAAAATGCTTATACACCTATATTTAGAGAAACAATTAACCCTAAATCGAAAACTCAAATTGAAACTTAAACCCTACCAATTTTACGTACCATTAACTCGAATAAACCCCAAGATTTTTCTGCAGAGAGCAAAATAGTCGAATCATGCATTCTACTTACCCAAATCTACCCAAATACAATATGAAATCAAATATCCTTAAACAAGTATCATCAAAATTTTGAACACTGATTTTAAAAGTCAATAATCTAATTAACATAAAGATTTTGCTTCAGATTTCCAAACCAATTTCCAAAATTCGTAACCATCGAATCCAAAGTTATGTTTTTTTTTTCTTTTTCTAAAAGATCCAAAGTTATACTTCATATATACAAAATCGACCTTTATCTAAAAATAGAAAAAATATTAATGTAAATGAAATGCGAATAAGCAGAGTTGTAGAGAGTGTGGGTGAAAACGTGAAGGAAGTGGTAGAAGGAGACACCGTACTGCCGACATTCATGTCAGACTGTGGTGACTGTGCTGACTGCAAATCTCATAAAAGCAACTTATGCAGCAAGTTTCCCTTCAAAGTATCTCCATACATGCCAAGATACGAGGACTCCAGCAGATTCACTGACCTCAATGGCAACACTCTGTTCCATTTTTTAAACGTCTCTAGCTTCAGTGAATACACTGTTCTTGATGTCGCTAATGTGGTTAAGATCGATTCTTCTATTCCTCCAAGTCGTGCTTGTCTCCTCAGCTGTGGAGTATCTACAGGTAAGTAAATAACATTTGTAAGAAAGATTTGCTAACTCTTTGGTTTGTAATGAAATGAATTGGTTTTTGCTTTAGGCGTTGGTGCTGCTTGGGAGACCGCCAAAGTTGAGAAAGGATCAACCGTTGTGATTTTTGGACTTGGTTCTATCGGTCTAGCGGTAAAATCGCAATTTCAAGTAGTAAGTTTTCTTGTATTTTGAGTCTCTGAAAGTAGTTTATAATTTGTACATTTCTAGGTTGCAGAGGGTGCGAGACTTTGTGGTGCCTCACGAATCATAGGTGTGGATATAAATCCTGCCAAGTTCCAAATTGGTTAGTTATCTTGCTTAAACCTTTGAATCATAAAAGTAAGCATAAATTGCTCTGAAATTCATCTTTTTGTAGGCAAAAAGTTTGGAGTAAATGAGTTTGTAAATTCGAAGACATGCGAAAACAAGCGTGTGAGCGAGGTAATGACACTTGACAGTTACATCAATGGAAATAAATATAAATATAAATGTTCTCTTTTTGTGTTTAGGTGATCAATGAGATGACTTGTGGTGGAGCAGATTATTGCTTTGAGTGTGTTGGAAGCAGTTCTTTGGTTCAAGAAGCTTATGCTTGCTGCAGAAAGGTATAATGCCATTAATGTATTAATTCTTTGGGCCAAAGTAGAATTACATTTATAAATGCATTAAAAAAAACCAAAGAATGTTAGAGAATTTTAACTTTTTGTACAATAAACGTTTAGGGGTGGGGAAAGACAATAACTTTAGGGGTGGACAAACCGGGTTCACAGATTTGTTTGGACTCGTTCGATGTTCTTCACCATGGGAAAACTCTAGTGGGATCGATGTTTGGAGGGTTGAAGGCTAAAACACACATTCCCATTCTTCTCAAATACTACTTGGACAATGAGCTTGAGTTGGATAAGTTTGTGACACACGAGATGAAATTCGAGGACATCAACGATGCGTTCCAGCTACTCATTGAAGGGAAATGCATCAGGTGTGTGTTGTGGATGGGCTAAGTGCGATGATTTTTTTTTTTATATCTTCGTCTTTTGCATTAATTTCAAATGTTACATGTTCTACTCTTTTCCATGGTGTGTAATCAAAACAAGCAAAGACTTACGAATGAAAATAAGCAAAGGCCATAAAGCAAGTCTAAACAATGTTCTAATGTTTTACAAGAAAGGAAATAAAAAGGTTTATTACTTTTATGATATCATAGATTATGTTATCATAAACTATATCATATATAAGACAAAAAAAAATGCATCAAAGACTTAGAGGCCCTTGGGGTTAATTTTGACTCTTGTCAAAAACTGTATGCTCGTTGACCTCCAACTTGGGCCCCTTTTCAGCCATTTTGATCTTTGGAGGCGGTTGGAGGCCTTTGGGGTTCTTCTTGGGCATTCATGATCGTTCATGTTAACGATAAAAGTAAGTAAAAGTGAAAAAAAAATGAAAAAAAAAATGGAAATTGGTTCCATGAAATTAGTAAATAGGAGAAAAATGTCATGTGTAGATTATCTAAGATTCAAAAATGTGGTGTTTGACAGTCACTCCAAGATTACCACAATCCTGCAGTGTAGCCACAACCCATAAGTGAAGTTACACAAGTGAAGTTTTGGGCTCATGAAAAGGAGGTTATTGAATCGAGTGTTCAGTTTCAAAGGTAGACAAGCTAGAAGTTGTGATGCAAGTGTATTGTCAAAAGAGCTTGACTATTGTATCTTTTAGTGGGTATTGATACTAGTTGAAAGAGAGAAACCTTGTATGATATTTTTAAATATTTAAATAAATACAGATAAAAAAATGTTGAAAATTCAGATGAAAAACAAGAATGTTTAGGCGAAATTAAGAGAATCAAAATTGCGGCGAATTCTCTTTGTTTAGAGTTTTTTTTTAATATAAACTTGTGAATGAATAATTATAAACTGAGCAACAAATTATTTCATGAAGGTGTCGCAGGTGGCTCATCAAATGGTTGAAGGACTCAGGTTCAACAAAAAGATTGGACAAATTACAGTTGGTGGAGAAAAAAGAATAATTTTTTGGGTCAACATGTATATAAATGAAAACTCGAAAAGTTGGTTTCATTCTCTTACTGTAATGTTTCCAAATCAGTGGATGTTTTTTGTTGTCGTAGATTTCATCAAAGAAGGATAACTCAATGGCAACAATGGATATTGTGGATGTTGAGGTGAGAGAGCTGGTGGGGAGGGACGAAGCAGATTACAACAACTCAAGTTGATATCCTTCACAAGTTTGCACAACTCTTCATTGAGAAAAATACTGTAGATGAAAAAGAGTTCATAGACCTATTTATTGATGGACAAGCTGAATTATATGTTTCTTGAGTCAACAAATTGGCTTGTAATACCATTTTTAGGGTTCAATGTATTATATATTTTGAATATTAATTTACGTTCGAGTGGTATGAAAGAGCTGGTGGCGAAGGCATACGCAAGTACGAAGCAGATTACAACAACTCAAGTTGATATCCTCCACAAGTTTGTGCAACTCCTTCTTGCGAAAGATACTGTAGATGGAAAAGAGTTTATGAACCTACTTATTGATGGACAAGCTGAATTATATGTTTCTTGAATCAACAATTAGCTTGTAATACTATTTTTACCTTCAATATATTACCTATTTTGCATCATTTCTTCCTCTTTGTTGGAAGTTAGTCTCAGTATGATCGCAATTTCACACATGATTTATAGCCATATAGACATATGAGTAAGCTATAAGGATCGACAGTTCTATGATTGTTGGAGGTGAAAACTGCACTTCCGATTTTTTCTGGTACGAATCGAGATTGGTCCAATTAAACCTGATTGACATATGGGTCGATATAGGCTCAGCATGAGAAGGTTGATGAAACCTTCTTAAAGGAAAAAAAGAAGAAGAAACTTTCTATTTTCGACCTAGAAAAAAATATACTATCTAGAAAATCCAAAGTCGAGAGGGAAACAGAAAATCCCGACTAAAACCAAATATCTATAAAAAGGGAGGAAGATCATTCATTTGAGGAGACACAGAAAATCGAGAGAGATTTGGAGATTGAGAGCTAAAAGATCTCATTATATTTCTAAGTCCCAGTTTGTTTATTATTCACAAATAAACGAATTCAGTTGTATTTCCTAACTCATATCAATAAAAACTGACTTCCGATCTAAACTCTTGTGTTGTGTGATATTACATATCAACAATGGTTAACCGATAGAACAATGTTTTGGAGCCATTCTTATTATGTTTCACTAGATTTGGATCTAATGGTAATCTCTTTGGTAACCTCACCCACCATACCCTATATATGATTATACAACCACTATCAACCTATTCCCTTTAGGTCTTGTGTCAATCACATACAATCACATTAATCGTAAGCACTTATATCTTGTAAGGTTTTTTTTAAAGGATGTAAAATTGTATTCAAATAAAAAAATGTCATTTTTAGATCAGATGTGTTGCTTTTTCATAGTCTAACTAGAAAGAGAAGAGTTTAAATTAATTCAACCAGGTTCCTCATCATCTTGTTGCAAACCAGACTTGAAGAGTATTTTCGAACTTCCGATCCCCCATATCCCGAATAGATTGGATCCTGCATCGAACAAACTTGACAATGTAGTGGATCAGACACCGAGCTACTCGAGGAGCTTCGCCATGATGCCAACAGTTACGCTCTTTCCAGATACAGTGAATTGCAGCTTGAAAAGTGTAATGAAGCAAAAACATAGTATCACAATCAAGCTGAGTAACAGAGATGAGATGAACAAGATCATTACTAATAACTGTGAATCTCCCCTTAAGCGATTCCTTTGTTAGACCGGACGAGACTTCCGCCGAATAAGAGCAGGAACATCATTTTTGAGCAGCGATGTCCTTTGATGCTGCTGAAACAGTCACAATATTTTCATTTGCTAACGAAACATCACCACCACCAGCTTTAGGAGATGCTAATGAATGTTGTGTATCACCCACGTTTTTCCTTAAGAGCACTTTCTTCCCCCCATTCAACATACACACTGCGATCATATGGCCCCATTTTTCACAATGAGAGCATCTTAAGGTAAGCCATGGATATTGAAACTCCACAACCAAATAAATTCCCTTCTCTGATGTGAAATGATACTCTATAGGTAAATCTTTGGTCAGCCACCACCAACACCTTTTCCTCATCAAAACTTTTGCATATTTCAGTGTCTGGATGAAGTTTTGTTGGCTTGCCCACCGCACTAGCAAGGAATCCCAAACCTTTTTCATGAAACATTTTATGTGGGACATTCTTAACATTGGCATGATTTTGATCGAAGGCTGATGTGTGTGTGTGGTGTGGGCAGAGAGTTTTACCCTAATAGAATCAATTAAAGCCACAAGTGCACAGCTAATTGATTGTAATACTTAGGGATCGAATCTACAAGGAAGGAAAATCTTTTCTGCAAAAACCTTTGAAAGAGATTAAAGCAAGAAATTCTAGAACCAATCGATATTTAAAGAGGGTTTTGGGTGTCACTAAAAACGTAAATCCTAAACTAAACAGGAAAAAGAACAAACGATTAACACTAAAAATGACCTAATCTAAAGATTCTAAGAAAATTGGCTGGGAACTAAAAATGACCTAATACGAAAAGCGTTGAATTAAAATTGATGTAAACTTATAAAAACGAGACCCTGGATTTTCAGGAAAATATCTCCGGGGTATAGACGATTCAAAATATTGCTAAAGAGTAATATAAAGATCCTACCTAAAACTTTTAGAACTCGAGCACGAAGGTATGACTACGTCACTGTCGTAATCATAACCAACTATTGTCCAAGACCCTGACCAGTAGCTTTTGTCTCTGGCCCCGGCCACAGATGTACGCAATCTTGCACTAGACTCATCTACATTCACAACTCACCCATAGGTAGGTTTCCACTCCTATGGCAGAATTGCTCTTTTCAAACTAGATCTTGCCCCTAATGAAAACTTTCACAACACTATGAACCTGAATCAGATTGTAGTTCATGACGCTACTACCATGCATTAAAAATAAGTTAAAAAGAAAAAGTTATAGGATTCGGCTTAGTAGCTCATGTAATCCTCATCGAACATATGTGATCCCCTTCGAAAATTCCCTTAAACCCAATAAATATACTACTCAGACATGATTAAAGAAAGCAAAAACATTGTATTGAAAGGCTGTATTGAAATCTATATTGAAAAAAAAGAGGGTTCAAGAGATAGATATATATCTCCCTAGACCTAAAAGCTAAAAGTATGAAAAACACAACTCTAAAGAATGAATAATACGAAAAGCTCTCCGACTTAGGGTTCCTAAGACAAGTATTTATAGTCTCCAAGTCATTTCTGCACGTCACTTAGGGTTTCCTTGAAGAAAGATATCGAACGAACTTGAAAATGGGCTTCTTGAATCTGAATGTTGATTCTCCGTGGTCAGGAAATGGGCAACCGTAATATGATCCTCCCTGAATCGGCACTCTAAGACTGGAAGTAACAAGCTTGAACTTCTGAAATACAACGAACTAAAGGGCAAAGGAGGTTGCACAAAGGCTGCGGAAGACCTTTGATTTACCTGTTTGTTTCTGAGGATATTACACACCTAAGAATCGGGTGTTTGAGAGATATGACACACACACAAACTAAGATGTTCAAAGAACAAATGATCTTTACTTAGAAAGGTTTTTAGATAAAAGAAAAGATGGTTTCTCCAATGAGATTACAAGAGAATATAAAGGAAAAGAAGAGAGTCTCGGCCATCAATAAGCATGTCTAGGAAATAAAAGTGTGAGCTGTCTAAGTTGAATTCAAATATCTTCACACGCTCCCCTTCTCTTGGCCGTCTCACTTGGGCTGGACTAATTGATAGACAAGACTTTTTAGGTCTCAGGGCTATCAATCCCCTTGTCAAAGTAGCACAAAAGAGGTTGTCAATCCAAGAATGTGGTGATAGACACTAAGCTATGTGATCAGTTTCTCAATTCAAGTAAACAAGTGAGGTTTTGATTGATTAATGACAACTAAAAACTTAAAACAAGATTAATGACTAAAGAAGTGATTAAACAAGAACTAAGCAGATGACAAGTGATGTGAATATGAAATGATGGAGGCATGAGATTCTAGACATGATAGTTAGCTAGGGTGCTTT